AGGTAATTATTTTTCCAAGTTACATATCTGAAGTGTCCGGATACACGAGCACCTTTCATAGCCTGTTCCCTCGCGTCTTTGCATGTATTGCGATCACTGGAGATGTCCGCTCCCAGGTATTGGAACTTCACTTGCTTCATGATTTTGCCTTATATTTTCAACTTACATCTTACTAGCTCCCTAGATACTACCATCGATTTTGTTTTTTTTTTCTGTTGAAACTATAATATTAATTTTTTTCCTGTCGTCCGCAATTTATAATAGTCTCTGCAGATTATCTTCTGAGTCTGCTATAAGCACTGCGTCATCTGCGTAGCAGGCTTATGTTTATCTGGATGTTACCCATCATGTAGCCTTCCATTGTCAGCATCATCATGTGATTCAAATGTCAAGCACAAAGAAGTTTGCTTCAATGTATAGATAGATTTTAAATATGTCCCTATGACATAATCATTATTTAAAAAGAAATATGAAAATTACAATGTTGGTGTGAATAATCTATTGTTAATAGAATGACATCTGACAACGTTAATCATTAACACGCCGCAGTGATCCTATTGGAAGCTGCAATAAGTAATTTAGTCATAACAAAGCTCCGTATTGGATAGCAGTGTCCAGCTGAACTGTCATAAGTCACTCAATAAATCAAAATAGACTGGACAATGCACTCAGGTTACAGTCTTCCTTTTTAATGGTGAGGTGTTTACATGAACATTTTGATATTTGATTTGGTGAGGAAAGTTTGATAAAATTTGTTTAGTGAACTAACAATATTTATTGAGTCAATGGTTGGTATGAATAAAAATGAGCACTTGCTCCGGAGCAAAGTGAGTCTACTCCAGCGGCACTGAGCAGAAGCTCCATTTCGAATGAAGTCAAAACTTCGAATGTCTCCGGAGAACTTAGTCATGTCTCGCGAAGCAATTTGCTCGTGAAAAAGCGATACCGCTGAGGCAGTAGTATTATATGAAGCCACTATGTTCATTTTGGTAGCACATGTCCACTTTGGCCATGATAATAATCCTGTATGGATAGGGATATCCTTCCAAGGCGAGAATCGGACTGGATCCAGCCAAGAAGCGTCCTTCGAGTAAATTCTTTAGCATTGTATGTTGCTTGAAATTTATAGAATAGAATGCCTTTCCTAGTTGGATGTATTCATCAGCATGAGTAAGTAGCTTTCATCAGAATATGTGTTAATCAGAGCAGCCAATTGCATTAGGGAAAGTGTATCTTTCCTGCCACAGATCTCTTGCATGCTTGAGAACTATTGCAGTTCTTGGGAACTGTATCCAATATTGGGTTTCTTCTTTTATATTCTCCATGAAGAAACTAAAAGTCTTGCTCACTGTGGACTGATCCACGCCATCATCTTTTGCCACTTCTACCTGAAAATCAAGATTGGCCACGTAGCGAAGAAACATTTTCTTTTGTTGCTCATTAGTTAGAGCTCCGCCTCTTGTTTCTTCACAAACGCCGAGAAAATGTGTCAACCATACAACATTGACCTTTTCGAATCGGTAAGATTCTTGTAATTCATGTCACAAGAATCTCGCCGAATCTTGTATTTTGTTTACTCCGCTGCATCTGCATGTGAGCACACGGTATATGCACGGCCATTTTAACCTTTTCAAACGTGAGTCCCTCCGAAATTTTGAAGCAAGTACTCAATCTACTGAATAAACGCTAAACTTTATTCATACCAATTCTGAGCATTTGCTCGCCAGTTGAGAGTACGCCCAGAGACGGAGCAAGTGCTCACCCATTTTATTAATTCGAAATTGAGAAGGATCTCCGAAACTCGGAGCAAAGAGTAATTGATCATTTTAATTCACACCACCCAATATCAAATTTCAATCATGCTGCTGATTCAGATATAGTGTATGCAGATGCTCATGTATTCCTGAGATCCAGGATCCCTGCTGTATTCCACATACTATTATGAGTAAAGGTAGAACGCTGCATTTTAATATAAGAAATGTTCACTTTTATGTAGTAAAACTTCATTGACAAGCAACATTCAGATTTGATTTTGAATACACTATTAACAAATAACTAACACTACACTCTTGTGTCTAGCAAAAGAGAGGCGAAGAAAACATGTGCAGAGAGTGAGTGACATTTACTGTCAATAAATCAGAGCTAGGAGACCCTCACAGCGTTTGCTCGAAGGATCAAAGGAAACTGGATGTAAACCCTGCTTGAGTTGGTGTTGATCTCACAGCTGAATCACAACACTCGTTAAATATATCAATATCACACCGTAAAAATAATTGTTTTTCTTGGGAACGAGTTTACATTTCAAGTTTGCTTTGTACTTTTTCAATTTTAAAAATAACATTTACTTACCAAAAATATAATAATAATAGTAAAAATGATATTAACATTAACAACCATTGAAAATATGATTGAACAAGTGTTAATGCCTAATGCAGTTAGCAAATCTAGAGTGAAGGAAATAAAATTTTCTTCAGACATTCTGCTTCTTTGTGAGGTATTGACTCATAATTGGCATTTTACAAGAAAACAAAGCAAATGAAAGGAATCTTAACATTCTTGTTTATTAAAAAAATGAAGCATAAGTTAAAATTGTGTTCAATGTTCAGAACCTGACTTAGTTTTCAGTGGTATAATATATAAATGTATTATATTCTTTAACCCTCGGAGTGCAAACGGGGTACGTTTTGTACCCCACACCATAATGTTTGCTAATATAATTACTTGTTTGATAAATATAGTCTCCAATAGATAACAAAGTATCTTTTGATGTCAATGTTTGTTAACATACAGTCGTTGCCAAAAACTAAGGATTTAAATTTGCGAGGGAAGATAAGTATTGTCTTCATCATTCATAAATCTTCTCGAACTCTTGGTAATGGTGTGTGTAGTCCTGGAATAATTATAAATGACAGCAACAGTCATATGGTCTGGAGAAGGTAATTTGTTGGTCCTGTGTTAAAAGTTGGCTCAGAGCTAAGTCGCTCGTCTTTCACCAGGGAGGTCCGAGCTCGAATTCCGTACATTCCCGTACGTGAAATATGTAACAAAACGAGTATGGCTGTTTCACAAGGGCTAGTTTACCCCCTGTTAAGTGACCTAAACCCTACCCATATCCTAATTCCTTCCTAATTGTGGCCGCTGACTAGTGACGCAGGGGCGCGTAGTAGGAGATGTTACCTGGCGGTCCTCTTGACAACTGCCACGTAAACTGACTTAAACGAGTAATGAAGAATTATTCCAAAGCGCTCAACACACCACGAGGCTTGGAAACGCGTTGCGTCAATTCAGGCGCAACAAATTAAAAAGTAGTAAGGTTGTCATTCTTTGTATTGTATTTTAAGGTACATAATTTAATTCTATTGTATCTTTTTTATTCTTTAATTCATTTGCTGGTGTTCCTGAAAATATTGAGTGAAAACTATTACAATTTTTCGAAAATATGAGTAGTTTTCATGTAATGTTGCGTGAAATGTATGCAATTTTAATTTTTTAAACATTTTTTTTCTCAAAAATCGCGTCTATTCTTAAATTTTCTTCAAGAGATGGTAAAAATATGGTGCTAGTCCCATTTTAGGCGGACTATCCATATTTTGAAAAATTACCGATGTTAACATGCAATTGTTGGTATAGGTGGCCAAATTAATTCAAATTTGGTGCCACGCTTGGAGCTCTTTCAGTTTGACTGCTCTTTGAAGGTATTTAAAAAAATATACATTTCAAACTTGATGAGTTAGAGAAAGTTTAAGTTTGGCCTCAAAAAAACCGCCTTTTTTTCACAAGTAGCAAAAAATTCATTTTATATGAAACTCTTTGCAATAAACGTTCACCTGCTTCGAAAATGACCGGTAGATAGCACTGATCTGCGAATAAATGGAAAGAGGTTAGAACTTACCGTATATAGAAATTTAATATTAGTGTGTTTGCTTACGTAGCGTGACAAGTGCAACTAAAAGTGCATAAACTGATAACATTAGACAAAAACTAATAGTTTTCATTTCAAACAAAATAACCGTGCTCAGCAACGCTCGCATCAACTCAAAACCCCTGTATGTAGAAGTGTTCGACGCTCCGCGCTCGTCCATGCAATCGGACCCTGGAGCATCGTTGCCACATTTCAACTTTCTGACCTGTTGTAAAGGCGGCATTGGTTAGCCCCACCCGTGACCCTGATGGCCCTCACTAGGAGTAATGTGAGCCTCACTGCGCCGTGGCCAATACGCGTGTGGCCCAACCGTGAGCTTGCAATCTCACTCGTAGCCACGTGCGCCTCCTGACAGTGGCATCGACTTGATGTGACCTTACCAATCTGTCAAGAGCCAGCTCTTGATTATCGCCGCTTGTTTGCATGTTTGGTGACTTGGTGCATATCACACCATCTCGGATTTCCTCACCGGGAGAAGTGGCACCAGAGCATCAACTTATACCACTGCAGTGCCTTTGATCGGGAGAACCCTATGGTTCGATACCCGATGGCAGGATTTTCGACACAAACCAGATAGCAAGATCGAACTCAGTCGCTGTTTGGAGGAGAATTCTAGCGATTGACTGCTCTAATCGGTAGTTTTCCGTGGGTTCATGATGAAAACCAGGCGAATGCCGGAGCAGTTCCCTAACAAACGGGCCACGGACCGCGCGGAATGTTTCCTTCCTCTTCCTTGTCCTATCTTCACCCCTTAAACACACACGCACTACATTATCACGCATGCCGGAAGACCGGTCGTCCCGGCTGGGGCGGTTTCCTGTAGATGGGAGATGCCTAGAGGGGAAAACCTCGATCGCCAATGGTAGGTCCGCGCCGAATTTCGCCATCCAGCGGGGAGGGCCATTACACGCGGAAATACCATGCAATACACTTACGGGACTAATGACCTTAGCAGTTAACGCGTCCGGAATTACTAACAATCGACAATCATTACTGCGACTCTTCTGTATAGGTGTGGTTATTAATATATCCATTTGCAGTAACGTCCGCCTTCTGACATGACGTCACCCGGCCGCAGCGGCGTAGCGGGCGTGGCCGCCGTCCTGCAGCGCTCGATGGAGGAGGCGGCGCGCCTGCAGGAGCAGGAGAGCGAGCGCCGGCTGCAGGAGAGCCTGCGCCTGCAGGAGCAGAGGGCGGCGGCGGCGCTGCGCGAGGCGGTGGGTCGGATGGAGCGGCGGCTGCAGGAGCGGGACGCCGCCGGCCGCGCCTTGGCCGAGCGCGTGCGCCGCTTGGAGGCGAGGGTGGCGGCGCTGGAGAGCGGAGGGCAGAGCGCGCTAAGCCGCCTGGAGAGGAGAACGGGGCGGCTGGAGGAGGCCGTGCTGAGGGCGTTGGCGACGGTGTTCCCGCGCGTGGAGGCCCTCTTGGCGCAGTTGGAGAAGGCCCCGCCAGGGGCGCCCTCTCCCGCCGCCGGCGCCCTCGTCGGCCAAGAGGACGACCGGCAGCGAATGGAGCGAAGGGTGCTCGAGATGCACCGCCGCAAGGAGATAGCAGGAGCGGCTTACTCCATTCTGGGGGAGGATTTGTGCGAGGCGGCGTTCCAAGGAGCGCTGCAAGACGTTCGTCGATGTTTACACGCAGGCGCGGACGTCAACTACGTTAGCCGTCACGGAGCGACTCCTTTGATATCAGCTTTTTATCGCGACTTGGACTTTGGGCGTGCGGACTCGGACGTGGTGTTGCTGCTGCTGGAGAGAGGGGCGGACGTGAACGCCATCGACACGAGCGGCTCCACCGCCTTGCACTACGCCGTCTTCCTCGACAGCGGCGCGTGGGTGTCGCTGCTGCTGTGCGCCGGCGCGCACGTGGACGCGAGGGACGAGTTCGGGGCGACGCCTCTGCACAGGGCGGCCGGCTACGGGTATTCGGAGGCCGTGCGAGCGCTGGTGGCGGCAGGTGCCGACAAGGGGCTCAGGTGTTGGACCGGAGGCTGGGTTCAGAAGACGGCCTTCGAGGTCGCCGAGACTGCTGCCATTCGGCATCTCCTGCGCCCTTGATGTTGATGGATTGAGAAGTCAGCGAGACTAATGTCATTCGGGATATCCAGCTTGATGTTAGGGTTGCGACATCGATATTAATTTTATTGCTCTCGCCGTTTTTTTGGAAAATAACACAAAACCACTCGTATGACACGGACTGGCACACCCCCAACGAATATCAAAAACACTTTTCGGAGCAAAACTACCTGCTAAAATTAAAGTGTCTTTACTTATCATAAACCACAATATAGTACACGACACAACAGTATTGTTTTTAAATTTTTGACTTCCCATACTACCCATAAAAGAATTATAATTCATTTCATTGCGTATCAAAAATCTCACGGATGGAGGCACATAAATCTTAATAAATACTAAACTACTCAACAATTCGCAAGGTTATTTCCCAACAAACACAACCTAAGATTATTGTAAATAACTACACCAACAATCATTTTATATCTCTCACCGTGTTTTGGAAAATTGAACAAAATCTCTTCTCTGTGACCCTAACTGGTGCAAACCCGTCAAATAACAAAAATACTCTTCGAAGCAAAACTAGCTTTCAAAATTAAAATGTTTTTGCAAAACATCAACCACAATACATTGCACGACACGACAGTATTTTTTTAAATTTTTGACTCCGTTTTCCGTCTTCTTGAACACCACACTGATAGAGAGACATTGAATGTGTATTTCTCTCTCCTCAACCCAAATGTCCTTGGTACCGCAAAATCGAATGACGGCAAAACTTCTGTCTGTCCGCCTGTGAACAACGCTAGCAGTTAAACTGTTTGCCTATTTTCTCCAGAATTGATATTTCCCGATAGATCTGGCTGATGTCGCGATTCCTTGAACTTGAGCGAAATATTGTAATTTTGGAGGTACTTAACATGAAGATTTTGGGACATTTTAAAAAAATAGTACAATTTTTTATCAAATTGTGTTGTTGGATGATGTGAAGACGTTTGATAGTATGGTGCAGGTCTCATTTTCGTTTAAAACCCTGATTTTTCGACATTTGCAAAAATTCAAACTTTTACGCGTTTTCCTACAAGTACAATTTTGAAGATAATATGTTTTCTTAATATGTGGTCAACGAAAACCGTTCTTCAAAAGAGGTCAGGTTCAATATCTTAAAAATGAGTATTTTTTGCGTAATTTTAGATGAAACAAGCACTTTTAAAACCTTTTTAATCAATTTTCTCAAAAACTGTTGTCTTTCCCTTATACGTACGTATATACGATGTAATATATACGTAGTACAGGAAAATCTATGAATTGCTGCGGAAAACTGATTTCGAGATTTCAATTGAAATACACGTTTTAGGGTCCCCTGATACTGAAAAAGTTTTTTTTTTTTTTCAAAACGTCCGTCCCTCTGGTTTATGTGAACAACACTATGGCATAATCCATGCAAAGGATTTTTCCAAATTGAAGAAACCCCTATCTATTTGGCCTGAGTCGTAGCTCTGCGATTTTGAAAATCATTAGTTTTAGGGGTATCTTTAAATGAAGCCGCTGGGACATTTTCAAAATTTTCTCAAAAATTGCTCCAATTTTTTTCTATCAATCTCTTATAATAGAGTAAAATGCACTTACAAATGTGGCATAGGTCCGATTTTCACGATTGACACTAAATTTTCGAAGATTTCAAAAGTTTGAATTTTTTGGGGGTCTTCCTACAACAAAATTAAAGATATATTTTTTCTTAAAAAATTAATACGGGAAAGTCTGTGCCATTCTGTAGAACCACCAAGTTTTTATAAATTTTGATTCTCGTACGAAGCAAAGAACTGTAAAGATAGTTGAGATGGACCTATTTGCGGCGCACATGAAGTTTTGGAAATAGCAAATAAAATCCGCTGTTGTAAATTCGAAAATCGGCGCGCTTCGTCTCAGGCGTTGCCAGTTCTGAATATTGCTACCCGGAGATTTCAAAATTCTTCCAATTTATCCCATTGTTGCCGGTCACGATAATTGTATGATGTAAAAAATATTTTTATGAAAGGAAAGAGAGTGAAGGAAGATAATTTTTAACGTAGGACTAACAAACACACTTCTATACTTAAAATAGTTTTAATCGCTGATTATGGTATTAAAAATAGGAAGGTCATTTCAAATGTAATCAAGGTAGGCTTGTGTGAAGTTATTCTTGCTTTTCTGTATTATGTTCTGTAAATACTGTAACTTTTAAATTTATTAATGCGTTTCATTTCTAAATATAAGAAATTACTACTCTCATCCTGACAATGGAAGTACATGCAGGTCAACACGAGAGGCGATGCGTTTGAATGAGGCTTTTTCAAGTTATAACTGAGTTTTGGCAGAAATTACAATATTTTAATATTACGTAACTATTTTCAGTCACGCGAAAAAGGATGCGTTGTTGTACCACTTTTAAAACGTCCGTCCGTGTATCCAGTGTATGTGAACAACACTAGCGCCTAAACTATGCCCACGATTTATTTCCAAACTGAATAAACCCCTGTCGACCTGCCCTGAGTCGAAGTTCTGCGATTTTGAAAAACATTCATTAATTTTTTTGGGCTCCTTTATATGAAGCCCCTGGGACATTTTTAAAATTTTCTCACAAATAGCTCCAAACTTTTTCTGTAAATTCGTAGTAAAAATAAAGTAAAAAACACTTATACAGGTGGCACTTATAGGTCCAATTTTCACTGTTAACTCTGGATTTTCGAATACGTCGAAAGTTTTTCGGCGTCTTCCTCCAACTACAAAATTGAAGATTGATATTTTTCTTTGAATTGAAATTTGTTCTCCATACTCAGTTCTTTCAAGAAGGTCATGTAATTTTTTTGAAACTTGTAGTACTTTTTGTGCAGTATTGCGTGAAATATGTGAAATTAAAAAAACAAGATTTTGATTTGAAGAAATGAAACTAAAATACACTGATTATTATATTTACACTGATGATGGAAAGAATAATTACGGTGTCGGAGCTGCCGTATTATGGTGATAATAGTCTATATTATACTCTCCATCCTTTAACATCAGTTGAAACAGCTGAATTATATTCCATATTATTAACCATGAAACATATCTAATAACTCCATTAGTACAAAAAATGTTATTGTTATTACTCCATTATATATTTTGGAATAAATCAATAAAAACATTAAAACATCTAAATTATTAAACCATATTCATGAAATATATTTTAATGAATCTAAATGGGAAAAATAGCATTATTGCTTGGGCACATAAAGATATTTTTGGTATTGGTATCGCTGATCTGGAAGCTAAGAGCCGCAACAAAACCACGCCAAAACCATACATGCAAAAGTTATTTGGAAATACTTCAAGAAGAAATTAAATATTCAATGGCATGAAACTTGGTCAAATGAATAACTCATAAATATATTACCATATTTTTTGGACTTGTAACAAATACCTCAATAGATGGTCGGGAACAAGTTACTCTAACAAGAATTCGCTCAAATCATTCTAAATTCTCACATAAATTTGTAATTGAAAAAGTTTCACAACCTACTTGTAATATATGCAACACTATTCTATCAATAAAGCACATCTTTCTGGAATGCCCCATCCAAAATGAAGATAGAAACAAGTTCCTAAGAAATGAAAATTTCAATGCAAAACCTTCTCCATTATACCAAGAAAAAGTGGTACAGTTTTGCATAAATATATTTTAATTGCGTTTTATTAATGTATTAGTCGCTTATGACTTCTGTTTATGCGACTTAAAAATAATTTTAAAAAAAAGATTTTCTCGAAAACGGCTCCAATTATTTCTTTAAACTTTTAGTTGTGATGATGTAGAATGTACGCCATGAGGTGGCATAAAAGCCATATTACTCTTTTTTAGTTTTTCAAAAATTACAAAAATAATTTTTTGACTAGCCTCTGAGGTCGTTAATAGTTACATTATCGGCGATTTCTCGAAAATTAAAAACTTTTCTGTGAAAACTAGTTCGAATTAACGCATCTTCAGAAACCTTCAAACGCAATTTTTTCCGAAATGGATTCAATTTTTTTCTTTACACTTTTCATACGAATAGTGCTAATTGCACTATTTAAGATAACACTTTTAATTTTGCTGAATTTTGTTTTTTTAATACACCTTTTTTTGAATTATCTCTCACGCCGTTTAAATGCATATTTCCAGCGGTTTGTATACATTATTGTTCCTGTGAGTAGAAGTACAATGAAAGGTACACTTATAAAGGTGCCATAGTTTTTATTTTCACGGTTAACTGAAGTTTCGAAAATTGGAAATGTTTGAATTTTTTCCGCCTCTTCCTACAACTACAAAATTGAAAATATTTTGAGGGTATTTTTCCTTCTGTCAAAAGTTGTCCTTAGCTCTTTCGTTAAGGAAATGCACATTTTTTGAATTGAATTTAAAAAAATGACAAACAAAATTTTGTCAAAAACGGCTCCAAATTTTTTCTTTAAATTTTTCGTAGCGATAGTTCTAAACGGTCTCTATACGATGA